AATCAAGGACTCGGCATTATACCATCATTTTCTGACAGAAATTCTTCCATGGTTGGTAAAATTTGCCTTTCAGCAGATATCAGGGTAAAGTTCCCCTATCATTACTAAGAAAATTGCATTAGATTTATTGCATTAATTTTAGGACTAATCATAGTGTATATTTCAATATTTGTTTTACTAAAGAATATGGCTGACTTCAAAAAATTGTAAAAGTCTCCAAAAAATAATATTGAATTGTTAAACCATGTGTGATAGGTAAACATGGTCTTTTTTTTCTTGATTTTTTTTCATGTTTTGTGAGTCTTGGTTTGTTGTAAAGCACTCATTCTACTAGTTCAGAATAACCATTCCTCTTTTAGAATAAGCAGAATTTGATAAATTCCATTCAACCTTGACCAACCAGCAGTCTTACTCCTATGGTGAAACAGTTGGATAGCCATCACTATATTCAGTGCTCACAGCAGGCCTTGCAACATTAAATGAGTTGTATGAATTGACCTCAATTCATTACTTAAATTAGAAGTTGCCCTATCTGCCCTGCCCTGTCTTGTCTGTTTGCTTTAATAGCTGTTGACTTTATTAGTTTTAATTTCTGGCTCTTACCATGTGCAGGCATTGCTGCTCTGATCCAGCATTTTTGGACACCCAGAGCATCTTAAATCCATTTAAAAACCAAGTTTCTCTATGAAAGAATTGGATCTTAAACACAATGTGTCTTGACCTAGTCAAGACCTGGATACAGATAGTCCACAATGGGCAACTGTAATTGAACCTGCCCATTGAGGTTGTAAATTGTGATGGTCATAAAGCAGGTCATGTGACCAACTGATTTTATCTTTTTTGCTGTGGTTGAGAAGAAACACTACAGCTGTAAAATGAATGTCACGGTCATTCAGTGCATCCATTTTTGCTCTGAGGCATTTTGCCTAAAACCAGAAGTAAACACTGGCTTTCAGCAAAAACATGATAATTCAAAGGCACCTCACAGGACTCTGGAAATTGCCATAAATATGGGCCAGTTGGTGATGGCCTGAAATGTGATCATATGATCAGGGGAGAGCAACCATCAGAATGGGATCCTAAGCACCTTGTCAGGGGACCATTGTAACTTTGAATGGTCACTAAGTGACTGATTTGTAAGTCAAGGACTACCTGTATTGGATAGGTGATTCCTAATGATTTAGCTGTTGTCCATTTCTGTCAACTGATATTTTTATTCAGCTAAGAACAGAGAACTTTCATCTAACTGAGTGGTAGTCAACCTGGTCCCTACCGCCCACTAGTGGGCATTCCAGCTTTTGTGGTGGGCAGTAGGGGTTTGCTATAACTCTGCTTTGTAAATTTTAAACTTTATAAATCACCATTACTGTGGAACCGGTGGGTGGTTAGAAAATTTTACTACTAACAGAGATACAAAAGTGGGCAGTAGGTATAAAAAGGTTGACTACCCTTGATCTAACTAATGGCCACATATAGTTTGGAGAGGTGCAGGAGACTATACTTCATAGTGGATGTAGTCATATAAAATAGAAAGTTAAATATAAATAATACACTCAAACCCAGCTATAAGGTAATGCACAGACCTAATTCAAAAACTCTACTCATGTTCAAACATACATATATTGATAGAATCATACTATATTAATCATTTTCTTTTAATAATTTACTTACTATCCTCTGACACACCCACCGACCCACACCATTAAGTTGTAAAAAGTAAAATATAATATATCACACCACAGGAAGGTGATCCTGAAGTTAAGAGTCTTTTCTCAAAAAGAAAATATAAGAGAGAAAAAATATTTTATCATAACTAGTTTACCCATCCTGCCTTCCATGTAAAACTGTCCTGGAGATTTTCTTCCTCATAAAAATGTATATAGTACATGTGTTGTACTTGTGTGTACAAGTGTTTATATCTATTTATGCTTATTAGAAGCCATATTCCAAAAAAAGCAGGGCTATAACAAAAATGAATAAATATAAATTGTATTAATAACTATTGATTAAAATTCATTGTCTATAAAATAAGGTTCTCCAATTATATCCAATAAAATCAGCAGGCAAGCGGCAATTAATCTTCAAAGACATGTATACTTTCCTTCCTCGCACTTGTTTGTTTTTAAATAGCAATATCTATTCTTAGTTATTGTAAGATAATCTCCTCCTCCCATTCAAGGAAAAAACTGGCAAAATATGGTACTTTATTCTCCATTTATAATTCATTCCAAGCCCAGTAGAGGGAGCTAAATCAGCACCTAGGAGTGGATATCCAGATGTTCTTAGATCTGAAAATAGTTTAAAAAGGGGAGGGATTGAAAGGAGCAAGCCAGATAAAGAAAGCAAAGGAACAATATTGATGATCAAGGCTGAGAAACAGCAAACTGAGAATAAGCTAAAATGGGTTTAGTTTCAGATGGAAATGCAAAAAGGAGACAGTTGAGGAAGAGGAAACTACACTGAGTTTTAGGAACAAAAAGAAGACAGAAAGAAATAGACTGATGTTGCAAAATAGAGGAGAAGAGCAGTAATTCTGATCAGTCCTCATGGAAGACCTATTAAAAGACAGTCCAGAAAAATAAAACAGCAGTTGTCTCATATATCAAAACTCAAACCATATGTTACTAATAACTTAAAACTCATATTGAACAACTGCACTGCACTTCTCAGGGTTGGGTGGGTAGGCCCAAACTTGCATACATTCAACCATCGTACATGAAGTAGATTCTCCCAGATAGTTTGAAGAAACATGAAAATAATGGTAACATGGGAATTAGAGCTTGCAACAAAATAGATGTCTATTACTGGCACCATCTTTTTGTACCATTTTTTGTACCAACAGCACCATTACAAGTCCCACCAGGGTTCATACTATCTGAGAAGGTCTTAACAAACAGAAGGTCTCAATAAACAATTTTAACACATTAAAATTATTATTTGATATGGTACTTGTAATCTGTATCTGCATAACAATCCTGTTTTCCCTCACTTTTCTCCCCATCTCAATTTAAAATCTACTTCATTTTAGCCATTCTGTGCTATCTGGTACAGTGATCTGGTATAGTTCATGAAAGCTTGTGCCTTTTAATGAAACATGTTACTCAGAAAATGTATCTCTCTTGATACTATGCTGACATATCAAATTTCTTCTGTTGCTGAATGTTATTAGGAAATTACAAGGAACAGAAAGGCAGGATAGCAGTGACAGAGAAAGAAAGTGATGTGGTGATGGGAAGTATAGCAGAGTGCAGTTGAAGATACAGAGGAAAGTGGGAGTAGAAGGCAAGGGAAGGCTGTGGAAAGACAGGGAATCATTGTAGAATGCACTCTCAACCTGTTGGTCTACATGTGGTTGGAGGCTGCAATTATTGTATTTGTGAGCAAAATGCAGTCTTGCAGAAATCCAATTCTGTTACTGTGCATACTTTATCACTATGGCATAGATTTGCTAAAGAAGGAATTTCAGCAGCCCCATTTCTTTTATATTCATTTAGCCTATGAGCTAAAAACCACTCTGCTTTAGGCAGCAAGTCCTTGGATAGTTGAGGAGCTGGAAGGCATAACTCTGCGGAGACTGTCCAAGCTGTCACTGTCTCTTGTTTTGGTTTGGCTCTGTTTGCAGCCTCTCTTTCATTCAGCTCCTTCACCAGGCATCCAATTAGAGAGAATTCCCACTGTGTGGGTTGCTCCAAACACTACCCTTGTCAAAAGTCCACGCTAACCCTTGCCCCACTGCAGATGGACCAGTCCTGCTTCCATCAAGGTCAGAGGAATCCGCAGAGGAGGAGGAGAGGTGGCTGGTGCATTTGGAACTGTGAGGGGGGAGATTGAAAAAGACCTGGACATGGGCACTAGACTTCATAGGACGGGCACTTTTCAGAAAAGGCAGCGCTTAAACAACCAAATGGCTTGATGCAAAAGCAGTTACAGGCCAAATCTGAAATGGGCTTTACAATCCTAAGATACCATCCTTGGTTAAGATAGTGTGTAAAATATTTATTCATTATTTATTAATCACACTGATACTCTGCCCACAAAGCAATCAATTCTAAGCAATGTACAAACTGAAAATATTTTTTAAAATTAACAAACAAAACTTCAGCTGAGCCTGCTAGTTCCCCAGCCATCTAACTTATCTGGGACACTATAATAAATTTCAGAATGGGATCAAAACAACTCAGAGAACAATCTTGCCCAATGCTTAAGCATGAGGACTTTAGTACCAAACTATTCAAGAGCTAGCTTATTGAAAAAAGGCGTATTGTGATTGAGGAAGAATTAATTGTACTAGAAGGTAAATTGAGGCTGTATTTCTATGAATACACATGTTCATGTACTTGTACAAGGTGAATAAAGATTATTCTTCCATTCAAACATCCAACTATTTTTCTTTTGCTTTTATCTGTTGGAATATTTATTTATTTAACTTTTTTATCCTGTCTATATTATTTTTATAAATAACTCAAGGCAACAAACATATATAATACTCCTTCCTCCTATTTCCCCAACAATGTCAACCCTGTGAGGTGGATTGAGCTGAGAGAGAGAGTGACTGGCTCAAGTTTACTCAGCTGACTTTCGTGCCTAAGGCAGGACTATTGTTAGGACAGGGACAGAGACTGTGTGTCCTTAAAGATATTGATAACTTATGTCCTAATGTCAACAGGTATCATGGCTACGATGAAAGATATTTGGAATCGTAGTACAGCAATAAAGTCTCTGCAGATTTCATATACCAGTATTAAGTTATTTTTTTGTCTACAAATATATTTAAACTATTTGTCCATCTGATCCAGAATAGTCTGTTCCAGTTGATAGAACCTCTTCCAAGCAGAGGCTTTTCCCATCACCTGATGTTTTTCATTTGAAATGCCAAGGATTGAACAAGGGGCCTTCAGATTGCAAAGCCTATGCTCTACCAAAAAACTATGGTCCCTCTCCCAAAATAAACTTTGCAATTCTGTAGTAATTCTTTCTTACTCATCTTTTATCTCTTGCAGATATACCAGTGATCCCTGACTTGGAGGAAGTACAAGAGGAGGACTTCGCCATGCAAGTGGCAGCCCCCCCTAGGTATAGTAACCCCAGAATTAGTTCTATTAAGTTGTCCTACTTGGATCAACTTCTGCCCCACATGGCTGATTTTTGTACCATATGTTATAATAAGGGCAAATGAGCCCTTCTTACGAAGGGAAGAAGTAGCTGCTGTAGCTACTGAGTAAAGCTAATTAGAGACTTTTTAAAATTGGAACCAGCTCCATATTTTAGACTTCCTAGTGAAGGATGGAGAGTGCTAATTTCATTTCTGCTCTAACCCCAATCACAGTGTTCAGGTGAATAGAGTGCTGACCTACCATGACTTGGACAATGATCTCATGAAGTACGCTGCATTCCAAACCTTGGTGAGTGCAGTCAGATGGAAACTGAGATTTATTTATATTTCTTCCAGGAAGAATGGAGCATCAAGACTTTTCTGTTGATACAGTACTACATAAAATTGACATTTATTACATTCTAGAGGTCCTTTTTTATTCTAATGTAATATATGTATATTTTAACTATTGCTTTGATAGATCCTTGGTCTTGGAAGCCTAAATAAATATCTAGTGAGTTTATTTTCTTATTGTCTATGTAACATTTTTGATGTTCTTTTAATCATCTTTGGACATTCCGTAATCATATAATTCATTTGACGGAATGTCTTTCAAGACTTATTTAATTGGGAGGCAAGACTAGACACTGAGTTTTGGAATTTTAATTCTCCAAATGTATGTATGTTGTTATTGCTTTTGAAAGAATTTTCTAGGTGAGATGTTAGTGCATTTGGTCTGCTTTGCTCCCTTGCTGGACATAATGTGTGTTTTCAGAGAAGGAATGGGGCTGTCTTGCTATAATAGATAAAATGCAGATGTTGCTACTACTTGTTCTTCGAGCAAATATGATTTTAATTTGTTTTCATAGGATGGAGAGATTGATCTCAAATTGCTCAGTAAAGTCTTAGCACCAGAACAAGAAGTACGAGAGGTGAGTTTGGTTCTCAATATTTTTGCTAGGCCTGCTCTTAAAGTTAGCATCGATTTAAAAATGTTTGTTTCACTCCACTGTTTCAGTTCCCAGTTTCCTTAGGAATTTGCCTTATTGGAATCATAGTATGGACAACATTTTAATGCTTCCCTGGTTTTTTTGCTTGTTGGGGGTGGGGATCATCATACCAAGCAAGCAAGTAGTACTCGCATAAGCCTGAAGTCCAAACAGAGATGAGATTGATCATCTATGCAAAGAATGATAAAATATTCTCACGACAAATTCCCAACTGTTTCAATGCTCCTTCCCCAAGTAATTTGATGAAGGGGGTGGTTAGATTTTTTTGTGCAAATGCAATGGAATGAAATAAGTGATCCCTTTTCACTGCGCCCAGTTCCATGAAGTAGGATTACAACTGTGCCTGAAAGAGCCCCAATCTATGTTTGGTCAGATTCATCGCAGACATTCCTCCATTCATATTGCATCACTATAGTAATACATTGCTTCCTTGCTCTCAGCTTCCTGGTGCCACCTGAGTGCTGCTAGATGGAAAAGGATACTTAGTGATGGTTTCAAATGATGTTCAACAAATTAGTCAGGGATTCAGTAGGACTCCTGATTGGCAAACATGTTCAGAAAACTATTAATTTGTTTTCTGAATTGGATGCCAATCTAAGACACACCAGGGAGTGATTTTTGTGACATTGGAAAGCTTACTTTCATATCTCTATCAGTTGAACTGGAGAACAACTTCAGTGTGTGTAGGACTGGGGATGAGGTGATGTAACATTGATGTTAGACTTTTAAGGTAGACCAGACTAGGGAACCAAAGACATGCAGAACCAAAGTCATGCAGGCTAATACTACTTTTATTATAAAAGCATTATAAACAGAATCTTGCAAGTCTGAATGTGTTCCCTCTCTTTAAGGAGGGTCTTATCTAAGGTGTTTTCTCAGATTATAGTTCTGACTCTGACTCATATTTCTTTAATTGACCAGTAGTGGCTCTTCCCCTGTTCTTCAAGGTTATTCCTTCTGCCTATTACAGGGCTTGAAATCCATCAAGATAAGACACACAGTATATCACATTGATGCACCAGCAATCATCACAATTATCTCAGAAAGGCAGATGATTATGCAATGGGGTGACAGTATTTAAACAGTATTGTTCCATTATTGTGGCCATCTACAGACTAAAGCAAATATTCAAAATTAGAACACTGTTGGTTGGAGCTTCTGGCCAATGAGATGAATTCTCATAGACCATAGTCACCACTTCTGCACCTTCTGGCCCTAGCCTGCTACATCACACAGTATCCCAGAGGATAGAATTGAGAGAGATTAACTTTCTTCTCTTGTCTTAAAATATATACCATGTTAAATACTTTATTCAGAATTAAATTCTGGTTAATAAAAGTTTTACCAGCAACTGATGTAGCATTAAAAAGCAGAATCTTAAGGGTGAAGGGTCCACCTTGATTGTCTCCTGGATTTCTTTGATTAGACTACACAACCTGGAAGAGAGAGGTCACCAGTCTATCCATCCTTCCATATACCAACAAAGTTCCAACAAAACTTTGTTCTTTCGCCACTTCTTTAAACATAATGTCAGTGACTGTTACTAAGATACAGCAAAAATAAATTATTCTTCCTCTGTTACATTCCAAACATTCATTTTTTTATTTTTTATTTTTTTTATATATATATATTTTATTATGTTTTCATTCTATACAATCACATATTCACTGTGCTTAATCAGGGCATATAACATTGAATATAGAAAATGCCCTCTACAATACAAACCCAGTATACCACCTTGACCCGCCATACACCCTCTTTCAACCCCCTCCAACTTTCATTCTTCCTTCTCACACACCCCTCTACGCCTACTTCCCCTCCCCTTCTTTTAACCNCCTGAATTCTGGGGGCAGCTCTGTTAAGCTGCCGACCGGCGACAGGCCACTCCCCGGAAGTCCATTCCAAACATTCATGAGGACAAGAAGCCTGGGCCACCAAAGGGATTCTCAGAAGTCAACGTCTTTAGGTCACCTTTCAGTGGTAAACCCACTAAGGCAGAATTCCTTTTAACCCATGGAGTGGGATGATGAAATCTCTGCAGACAAACCCAGCTGAGAAATTCTTCTGATCTTCTCCTGACAAGTGATCCCACTACCCGTATTAGCACTTAGGGATTGGGTCCTTGCTGTAATGTATTTTTCCCCATTTGAACTGTGTCATAGTATTTAGAAATATGTTGCCCCATTGGTTCATTTTTTACATTTGTTATTGTTCTTTGACAGGATGATGTCATCTGGGACTGGAACCATCTATACACAGAGGTTGCCTCTGAACTTCTAAGCGAATGGGACTCTGGGCAATCAGAAAAAGAAGAGAACCTTATGAACAAGAATGTTTAAATTTTGATAGATTGCATAAAAGCACAGTTGTAGAGACATTCCTTTTTAGTATGATTTTTATTTGGGAAATTATTTTTGCCTACACAATATAACAGTAGCTATTTCAGAAATGTATCTAACAAAATTCAAAAGGAGTTTTGTATTGATATTCAAGTTAATTGGTTATATTTTTTTAATTTACTGGGCAATAATTTTCAATTCTCTTCAGTAGGTAATATTTTTCCAAGTACTTACATGCCTATTTTAAGATATATTTTTTCTTAGATACATGTATGCCTCATTGTAAAATGTTATGCTTTATCCTCAGAGCTATTATAGTTGAACAAGTCTGGAATATTAAATTGATTTATTACCTTTCCTCATTTAAGTGGTGACTCTAACATATATTCAAATTTGTTTAAATGTACATGAATAATACATTTGTAAAGAAGAGGCTACACAAACAAAAAGCAACACAAGTGCACCATACATCACATGAGCGTTTTGAATTTGGAAGTGAACTGGGAATACCAGTTTCCTGTTCTAAAATATGCTGGGGGTTGAGTGCTTTCCCAAGATCATAATTTGTGAATTTATCTATGCTTATCACCAAGGATAATAGTATGCTTAGCAGTGTAGTGGGCAGTGAAATGGAACCATCAACATTAACCACAACTAAACCCATTTTGAGAATAAACACTATATTGGAGGTATAAAAGATGGGAAAATTAAGAACTTTTTTTCATTTGGAATTGGACTAGTCTAACTTCCCTCCCAAACTGAAACAGAATATTAGAAACTACTGAGCAACAATAGTAGGGAAAGCAGCAGGGATGAGCATATCTTTTCAAAGAGATTTGTCTGAATGTGCAAAAGCATCTAAGAAGCCCCTTGTTTCAAATTGCCAAGTTGTGGCTGTTTTCCAGGTTTTCCTGGTTTGTTTAGAATAGGACTGGGCAATTAATTTTCCCAAGAAACTGAGTGTCGTGCAGGATAGAACCAATAACTGCAAAGGCACGCGTGCACACACACAAATGTAAATTCGGGGGGGGGGGGGTTAATAGCAGTCACTTTCTAATATAAAGCAATAAAGCTTACATAACAGAGATGGAAGGGACTTTGGAAGTCGTCTTCTCTAGCCCTCTGCTCAAAAAAGAAGACCAGGGGTGTACCATATACCAGGGGTTCTCAACCCTGGGTCGCAGCTTGCTTGGAACCTGTGCGCATGCAGCTCCATTTGTGTGAGTGGCAGGTGCTTGCGATTGCACTCAAAGCTCCCATTTGCAAGAGTGACAGGAACTTGCTCTTGGAGCTCCATTTGCAGAATTCCTCTCAGAAATATTCATATATCTCTTGCATACATGAAATGTCTGCATAGAATCATCACCACCATCAGTATACTGTCTGTGAATTGGGAACCGATATGGGAATTACTACTTAACTTGTTGTTAAGGTGCTCTTCAAAAGCTTTGTCTTTTTTTCTCCAAGTATCTCTTGGCAAACAGTTCAATATTTGTTTCTTCAGTCCAAAGCACTTCTAAAATGGGTGTCTAAAGTTCTGCACTTGCCATATTAACTATTTTTAAAATTTTGAATTTATACATTTTAAAATTTGCAGAAAGTTGTGTTTAATTTTGTACCATGTATAGATTGTATTTTTTTTCTGTTCATGTAGGGATTTAATGAAACATATAATTTGACCTATGATTTAGGTCAAAATTTAAATTTAGCAGGCAATAGTACCTGAAAACACAGAAAGAAAACGTGTACAGTATTTCATTTTTTAATTGCAAGCTGTGGGACTTAGAAGGGAAGGATGCTTTCTGTCTTTGATGTTAGGGTCAAATTTGGACCTGTTCTTTTCTCTAGTTGCGTCCTGTGTCTTTGTGTTGCTGCTGTTTGCTTTTGTATTCCAAAACCTGAAGGGATCTTGCCTCTGGGCTGGGTTGATGTAGTGGACCCTAAATCTCCTTAGATTACATGGCCTATATTTCCAGCTATGCAGATTTTCTCTTCTAATGCACACAGATATTTCATTCAGTCTGAAAACAAAAGATCTCCCATACCTGGGCAATTGAAATTGAATCAGGAAAAGGAGCTATTTCATTCAATTTCTTAGAAATTTTTTCAAGGACACAGGCTTGAGCCAAGGAAGGAACAGGAAAACAAAATCCTAAGTAGGATCTTCACAAAGGATATGTGAAGCATATTTTTCAGTTGCATTTATCTATTGAATCCAGCAACTTCCTTTGACTTGATTTTGTCACTCTGTTAATCTTTCTCACTTTATTTCAATCAACTACAACAGAGAAAAGAAGAAAGAGCATGATGGAGCAGATATATCTTACTAAGAGTCGTATTAATTTGCAGCAGATCAGCAAGGATTTTTCTTAGTGTTACTTCAACAATAGTAGCACCAAAGGACTCCCTCTGACAAAATTATATCACTTAAATAAAGCTAAGGAGAAAACAGTAATTCTGTGTGTAAAAGAACAATGGTTTTACAGAACAGTGGTTATACTCTGCTTCCTGGCTTAGAATTATTTTGTTCTAAGTGTATGGATGCTTCCAAATGGAATGAAAAGACAGCATGGATATTCTGAAGATGTGACCTCCTTAAGAGAATTGAACTGATAAGAACAATAGGAGAAGGAATGCTGGGGAAACCCAGAATATTCAAGACCTGGCACCAAATCAAGCTTCCAATATGCAGGTACCCCATTCTATCCAGTGCTTGGGTGAGGGGAAGCCACATTTTCAGTGCAGAAAGCTAGGAGGCTGGAGGCCTGCCAAATTTCAGAGATAGGGTGTTCCATAGGGCAGGCATTACCACAGAAAAAGCACACTGCCTAACTACAGGGTGGCAAGGTTTAAGGAAAAGGACTAGGAGCATGCTTATCTTTGGTTTGACAGAGAGAGGAACAGAAAACATCCTACTATTCTACCATCCCAGGCCATAAATGCTTAATGTTTTGTTTAGAGTTAAACAAAGGTGTATAAATACTGTAGTCCAAATTCAGCATAGCAAAGTTGAAAAAAACTCTCCTGAAATTCTGAAGCACCACTAGACTATTCGCAGCCAGCTATCAGAACAGAAAAAATATGTTGCTGCTGAAAACTGACATTTTGGTAGCGGAGATTTGGGAGAGCACAAAAAAGGACTTGCGTGCAAGAAGTTTGAGGGCTGCCAGTTGCCGACCGGAGTTAGATCAATGGTTTTGATTTGGTGTAAGAAACCCAGCCTTATTTATTCCAAAAAATTATAGTTTTGCCTCCATGTCAATTATAAACAATTATCTCAGTAAAGAATATGTAAAATGTGAGTTCAACATTCATAATTTAAATTATGCAAATCAGTAGGAACAAAGAGAGTTGATTTATCCAATTTATTTCCCTCTCTTTGTGAGACTTCTTTTAACTCCTACTTTTATTTATATCTTTTGGAAGGTGGCTAGGAACTGATTACTTCCTCTTTCAAATAACTTGATGTTCCAAAATGAGCTGTGCATGGTTGTTATATAATCAAATGGAAACAATGAAAATAAATAAGTTCTCAGCTGTGTGCTGGAATGTATCCAGGTGTCACAGGTGAGACCGAGTTGCACAACAAACACTGATTTCTAAGGGATTTCTCTGGAAACTAACTGCATCTGTTGACAACTACAGAGCACAGTTTTTAAATGTAATTTTTCTGGGTTGCATTGAAGCTTTTTTGTAACAACTCTATACACAATTCTCCAATATATTGTTCATAATTTTCTGTATTAAAATTGTCCTTTTAAATCTAAATAGCAATATTATGGAAAGAATGTGGTGCATGCTACTTAATGCATTACAACAATAAATCTCTAAGAAATCTAATTGAGGGTAAAAACATCAGGGAGATTTTCTAAACAACTTTAATAACGTCTCTGGCCACCTGCAAGCCCCAAAAAAGGCCACTTTATTAAATGAGACAAAGGGATTAGAGATCAGTGGAGCTACTGTGTTAATAACTTGGAAAGACTATGCCAATTCCTCAAGCTGGAGGGTTTCAGGGAAAACAGAATTAATTCATGGCATATGCTCTCAGCATCTGTTGCTGTGGCCTGCAATGGCAGGATCACAGGGCAAAAGAGCAAGAGGCAAACTTTTGCCTTCCTTTATTCTTCTCTGGCTTGGCGAGGAGCCTGTTTCCAATGGCTGGGCAGGAGAGCAGGTGTGGTGCCCGCTGCATCTAAAGTGCCCTGGAACTCAATGTGTGAGTTAGGAAAAGAGCTGGCTATTGAATTGGTTTTCTATACTGCAGAAATGCCTCTTTAATTATTGGGAAAATCATAGGATGTTGTATTTGGTAAATATTGTTTCCCACAACCCAGATTAGGAGGGGCTCGGTCTTCTGAATTGGGGTACCTTCCCAGAATCCCATAAGAAATTATGCTGCGAATTCCGGAAGTTGAATTCCTGGAAATTCTGGCTGGGAAAGGTTAAACTACAGAGTAATAAAGTAAAGTACTTTATTAAGTAATAAAGTACATGAAGTACCAATTCTGAGTTGTTTGTTCTTGGGTTATGCCTTCAGAATACCAAGAAGGATAATATAAATTCTTCACCAACTTCACACTTGAAACTAAAAGTTGGTGAGTGATTCAAACTTTTCAACTCTTTAATATTTTTGCTCATGACTACATTGTGCAGGAAGTTTGCCAAAGAGCCAAGGTGTGTTGCCACTTATAGACTATGGAATCCTGCTTGATTAATTAGCTGCAAATATATGGGTTTGCAATTTCTGCTTGCAGCTTTGTCTGCATTAATATAATCTATGGAGTTGCATTGGATCCAGTAATTCTCTACACTAAAAACACTGTATAAACCCCCACCCCCTATAGTTTGCAAGTGAGCACTCTGAAGCTCAATTGTTTGGGGGCTACAAATATCATCTGAGTTGGCACTGCTCCTATGCCTTAATAGCAGCCCCAATAGAAAGAATTTTGGCAAAAATGTTGCTATCATCTCAGAAGCAAAGCTTATTTTGATAACAATGACAAATTGAACCAACCAACACAATTCCTTCTCTCCTTTCAAATCTCCATTTAGCTCCCCCCCCCATTTTTGCCCCAAGTTCTCCCTATAAGCCTTTTGAATGACCTTTATCAAGGCCCATCTCCTGTTATTTTCAAGACCACTTAATTATCCCTTTATTATTTTGCTTATCATTATTAATTATCACTCTGGATTGGTTAGAGTGCTGACAGTTGCCTCTTGTCAATTCTTTCCCTCTTGTTTTAATCCTGCTCCTTATCTGAAATGAATCTGATCCTTTTTCTTTTAATTAAAAGAAATCTAGTCTGCCCTGCCCTCTTCCTTGTGTGAAGAAAAAGCTGATGGCTTCTCCTGATAGATA